TTAAAAAAAAAAAAAGAAGAAGAAGAAGAAGAAGAAGAAGAAGAAGAAGAAGAAGAAGAAGAAGAAGAAGAAGAAGAAGATTGGATTGAAATTTAATATATTTTATGAAACAGAAAATACCATTGAATCATTTTAAATAATTGACGTGTTTTTGCTCAAGACATTCCACATGCGACGATCGCTCTCAGCTCCTTGTTTTTTCTTCACTAAAAATTTTGTTGTCGGAGGTCAATTGTCACTGAGATATTTTTCCCCACAACTTTACAAGTGTAATGTGGGGGCGATTCTTGTTTCACCAATGTAGTGAACTTGGCCATGCAGTTTAATTAACATGGAATCCGCAAATACAATTCATGGGCACTTACTTTTTCCCCAACAATAAAAGGTAAAGGTATGATGCACCATTGAACTCTCATTTTCAAATGCCACAATGATAATAATGGTCTCTGATTTATTTCTTCAACAGCTGAAACAATGGCTACATTCATATCTAAATGCATAAATCTTCAAACACAAATACTAAAATTGAAACTGGGGTCAACAATACAACAATACTCTACAGGTAGAAAGGTAGTATTTCTCCAGGAATTCAAGATGCTTTGGCTGCTAGCAAAGTGATGGTGGCTGGTGGCTACAACACAAAGGTATATTGAAGGATCATTCACGCTGAATTTATTCATTACCCAAACACGGCCAAAACATCACCTACCAGAGATGCTCATTTGGATTTCTGAATCTGCTTAAAGTCCCATGGACAAGAGGCGTTGGGTCCCAATCCTTCTCTTTCTGAGTCGTTCTGCAATTATGAAAGACAGCTCAAGAGCTTGAGAAGCATTAAGTCTTGGGTCACAGTGTGTGTGGTAACGAGAGCTTAGGTCGTCGTAAGTCACTGTCCTTGACCCTCCAATGCATTCTGTAACATTCTGGCCAGTCATTTCTAGATGGATACCACCAGGGTGGCTTCCTTCTTGCTCATGGACATTGAAGAATGCTCGTACCTCAGCCTAATGATAAGATGTGATAGTGTAAGCTTTGGGTAGGGCAAAAACATTTTTGATGTTAAGCAATCAAAGATATATGGAGAGAACGATTACCAAAATTGCATCAAAGGCACGTGTTTTGAGTCCACATGGTGCCTTGATGGTGTTTCCATGCATTGGATCACAGACCCAGGTCACAATTTGGCCTGCCCTGCGGACTGCCCTGATCAAATGCGGAAGCTTGACTCTCATGTTCTCAGCACCCATTCTGCAAATAATTGTTATCCTTCCTGGCTTGTTATTTGGATTCAGGATTTCAATGAGCCTAACTAACTCATTTGGATCCATCTTGTTGCTCACCTGCATCACCAAGTTTCACCTTCATATATCTAGATTTTGTAGGATGAAAACTAGCTACCATGTTCTTGAGCTATATACTACCCCTTTAAGCAATTTAATCAAATCAATCGTGTTTATGAAAAAGTTTCACTGAGGATATATACCTTGATGCCCAGGGGGTTGGCAATTCCTCTCAAAAACTCTACATGAGCACCATCCAACTGGCGGGTGCGCTCCCCACACCAGAGCATGTGAGCAGAGCAGTCATAGTAGAGGCCAGAAGTTGAATCAAGCCTGGTTAGTGCCTGCTCATAAGGCAAAAGCAAGCACTCATGGGATGTCCAGAAGTCAGTAGTTGTCATGACAGGATGTTCAACTGTGAGTCCTGCAGCAGCCATGAATCCTAAGGCCTCATCCACACGGTGAGCCAGTTCCTGGTATCTGTTATCAAAATTTGAACATCAAACTTTACCCTAGCATATAATAGCAAAACAAGATCAATGCTATTTGGTTTGGTCCACAATTGAAATTCCAATGCATTCATTAGAAAATTCAGGTTCATTTTCCGATGATGCATCCTGTTGTCAATAATGCAATCTTAGGCCTAATGAAGCTCAGAACAAATAATACTGATTTTTCCTTTCTTTTCTTTTCAAGGTCTTTTACATTTGTAGATCAAGATTCTTTTAAATGAAATTAACCAAGATACATGTAACTTCAAAGCAAGTTTAGCTTTACTTACCTATCTCCTTGCTCGCTATGCTCTGCGAAATCAAGATTCCATTGGGTAACCCTCTGCATTGCAGCATATCCTCCAGTGGCAAAGGCTCTAAGGAGGTTCAGAGTTGCAGCAGATTGGCTGTAAGCCCTTATCAACCTCTGTGGGTCTGGAATTCTTGACTTCTCATCAAAAGCATCACCATTTATATTGTCACCCTTGTAACTTGGCAGTTTCACTCCATCCTTTTCCTCAAATGGGTCTGATCTAGGCTTTGCAAATTGACCAGCCATTCTTCCAACCTATAATAAACCAATCCCACAATTCATAATGTTCATTTCATCCTCCATTTCAATGATCAAAATTGCCAAAACAAGGAAAGAAAGAACAAACGCTTCTCCCCTTTAAATACTATAATGATTTGATTGTTGTCATACAAGAATTTAATATAAAATGAATCCTCACCAAATTTACTCAAAAGAAAATAATAATTAAATAGTAACAATTCAATTGGAAATCCAATGTCTGGCCAAAAAACAAAATAAATTATTACAGACCTTTATAACCTTAAATACAATTATTACAAACCTCAATAACAAGAAAAAGAACAAAATCTGCATATGGAACAAAACTAATTTTTAAGAAAATTAAACTGAAGTTTGGAATTTGATCTAACCTTAATCACAGGCATCTGGCCACCAAACATAAGCACAGCACCCATCTGGAGCATGATCCTGAAAGTATCCCTGATGTTATTGGCGCTGAACTCCTTGAAACTCTCAGCACAGTCACCACCCTGAAGCAAGAAAGCGTTGCCCATTGCAGCATCTCCCAGCTTCTCCTCCAACTTCCTCGCCTCACCGGCAAACACAATGGGAGGAAACGCCTCGATTGTCTTCAGCACAGACTCCAGGTCGTTGGCATCAGGGTACTCCGGCAAATGCAATGCCTTTTTGGATCTCCAACTATCCAACTCCCATTTCCCACCAACAGACGGGGGTGACGTGTCCTTCACCGCCACCTTATTCTTGGTAGGTTCTGCTGCATGGACTGCTGTGACCGGGCTGAAAGATCTAGCATTTCTGTTAGTGGGCAATTGGGAAACACCGTGGTGAGGCTTGGACAGGGAGGCGGTGGTGCCGTAGAAGGACTTGGCGGAGATGGCAGCGGAGGTGTTCGTGAGAGCCATTTCTGGTTCTTTCTCTCCGATGGATGAGGAATGGGGAGAAAGAGAGAGAGAGGGGGGTAGGGGGGGAAGGATAGGTGACTCTTTGAGAGAGTTGGTGCATGGATGGGGCTTTTATAGGGGGTTTAAGAGGTTTAGACTCGAGATGTTTTGGTGGGGAACGTTCAAAACAGTACATGGGAATTGCCAATTGGCAATGGTAGTTAGGAAAAGGAGGCGGGGGTGTTTTTTTGGAATTTCAACGTACATTGAATGAGACTAGTTCACATGGTGGGAATGTGATGGGCATTTTGGTAACTTAATAGTTATAAAATATTCTACCTATATAAAAATTTGTTGTGCAATTTAGATTATATTACATTATGTAATTTAAATTATTAAATTATTAAATGAACGTGAGTTATGTAAATTAACGTGAGTTATGTAAATTTAAGGATTGTTTCCTCACTCATAGTGTCGTATAATTTAAATTGTAATACCAAAAATTATTTTGACTATATCATTGCTTATTATCAAAAAAAATTGTTAACCTCGTGGGTTGAATTTTTTACAGCTTATTTGATTTGAAGAAAGGAGCAGGAGAGGTGAGAGGAGGGGAACAAAATTTTCCATTTGGGTAACAAAAATTAAAGCTTATTTGGTATAGTAGTTTGGCGTAATAGTTAATAG